TTGGATGGCTGTGCCCCACATGTCTCATTCTGGCATCCAGAGTAGAAAGGCAATGAGTATCTGGAGAATGTTCTTATCAAAACTGTATCAAAAGCCCAAAGGAGCATGCCCAACTGCTTTAGTACAGTTGAAGCCTTTGATCATGTTATTACCCTTAGCATCCTCGTAGCCAAAGCAAGTCCACATGATAAAATTCAGATTCAAAGGGCACAACTGAGACAGTGCCACCATAAAAACAAAGGGCAGGGCTAGGGCTATGGCCCAGTGGCAGAGCACTTGCCTACATGTGTGAGGCACTGGGTTCAATCCTTAGCACCACATACAAATAAATAAAATAAAGGCATCCTCTCCATCTACAGCTACAAAAAAAAAAAAAAGAAAAAAAAGAAAAGAAAAGAAAAGAAGAAAGGGCAAATGCACTTCTCTGGTCTTGACTGATGGCCTGACATCAGACTCCAAGAAGCTTACTATGCGACACCCCTCAACCAGGGTCAGCTTTGCATAGTTGAGGTCAGGATGCCCTATATGTGTTCTTTTAAACAGTGCTATAAATTTATTTAGCCACAGGGTAAAATTCTTGAGTAGAGTACACATAAAGCCAATTAATATCCCCTCCCCTGCAAGTAGCCAGCTAAACAAGCTCCCTCCTTTTATCTAGAGATCCAGCATGACATTGTCTTATTGGAGCTGTGTCTCCCTCCTTAAATGGAAGCTCCAATAAAAGCCTTGCCTGCATGTTCAGTTGCCTGATTCAGTTTTGTTTCCATCATCATTGGAAGTGTGTCCAGCATCATACCAACCATGAGGCCTAAACCAAAGTGGTATATGTTATTACAATGGAGTGAGTACCTCAGGCCAACAATTCCAGCAGTAGCAAAGAAAGTGGGATAAGGGGAGCATAAGAAAAAGAAGTAGAAAGAAGTTAATTAGAAGAAAATAGAGAAAAAGGGAGGAGAGGAAAAGGAGAAGGTAGTAAGTATACACCATCAACTTTGGTAACAGTGGGTGAACAGGCTTTCAAAGCAGGCTCTGTTTCACATCAGTTCTTTCTACTGTCCTCATTGTACCTGCTACCCCTGAACTGGACTGGAGCCCCTTTGAAGTTCTGGCGAAACCCAGGCCTCTTTCCCCTGTTGAAACCTTCTATGTGTTCTGCCTTGTTTCTTGCTCACATTGTATGCTATCTTGGGAGTCTTCCCATATTCTATAGCATGTGGTGAAAGCTTATTATTTACTATTGGTGTTCTGTTTCTCTGTACTATTCAGCCAGGGATGATGAGGAGGAGGTAGTTATACCTGAACTGACTCATCTCAGAGCTTGAGAACTGAAGCATCAGAATTGAAGGAAGCAAAGGATAGTCCTAATAGATAGGTAGATAAGGGCCACCTCATGAAGCACTTTGGAAAACAACCAGTAGGAATTCAAATTTTACTCTGTAGGCAGACAAGGCCCTTGAAATAATGAAACAGTGGATCTACAGAATCATTTTCATGTTTTAGAAAAATAGTTCTCAAGATTTCCAATTAAACCCAACCGTCCAAAACCAGACATTTGGTAGTTTCCTTCCAAAATTCTACTGAAAGGAATAAAACTGACATAACCCCAGAAGACCAAAAGAATGGGAATGGCAATGACAGAAGACAACATCAGTTATACTATGAAATATGGAAAGGAGTTCATCTAGTGATTGTTGACTTAACAAAACTGAAAGGGATTTAAGTTCTGTAGGACAGGAAGGGGAAGATAGATCTGCAGCACTGTATGGAGAGGCCTTGAAGGAGAGCAACTGAGTGCCTCTAGAGATAGGAAGGAGGGTTGCCAATAGAAATGGGAGAGAGATTCACCAAGAAAAAACAACAACAATAAAAGCCCTCTTGCACCCATAATTTTTTGATTCCTTGGAAAAAAGGAACTAGATCAACTCCTGTCTCAAAAACACCAAGGAAGCAGAAGGCTGCCGTGAGGCAACTTTACTAAAAAAAAAAAAAAAAAAAAAAAAAAAAAAAAACTGGGATTAAATAAACGCTATTTTCTAATCCCTAGCTTATATCTACTAAGCATGAGTTTGAAGGGCTAGAGAATCCAAGACTATTTAGAGAACAGAAAAACTCAAGAGAAAAAAATGCACTTCAAGTCTCAAATTTGGCAGCAGTCAAGTAAGATGACAATTTAAGAATGTCTTTGGAATGTGACAAAAAGCCATTTGTACCATAGAAATAAAAAGAAAAGAAACATTAAAAAGTGAAGTCTTGTGAACAATATTTTAATGTTTAGGAATATTTAGGAATTTCTAATATGGCTTGTCTATCACCATGACTCATGAGTTGCAAAAAAATGTTGAGCACAAAGGCATTCCTGGAACCCTCCCATCATGGAACACAGATGACCACCCACTCTACATATGTGAAAAACAAGTATGGGCAGGAACACTAATGAGTCAATTTTTTAAAATTTAAGCTTTAAACAATCCTAGAATTGACAGCGTAAAATTTAGACCCCAAATCATCTAAAGATGCAGAAATATACAGCTTAAAGACTACTATGTGAATGGAATTAAGGACCTCTGTTCTCAAAGAAAAATAGCAGGAGACATTGAGTCTGGTTATCTAAACATTTTTATAATATCATTATTGAGATTATAAACTCTTCACTCATGATATTAAGCTAAAAGATAAAGAAGGTTACCTGCATAGAATGAAGTTTTCATATTTTACACCCTTGTCAGATCTCAACTGAGCCTATCAAGACACCATCGTTTTTTATAGAAATATCATTACATCTAGAACATGGATATCATCCTTGCTATGTTCCTCCTGACATACTCTATTCCAGCCCTAGTAATCATTCTTATAAAATTCTCAACACTCTCTCATCTACATCCCTCTCTCCTTTTTTCTTCTCAGAATGCCCCCCTCCTATCTTTACCTTCTCTACCTGGATAATTCCTGCCCAGCTTTAAATGGCAGTCCAAGAGTCTCATCTGTGAGGCCTCTTCAAGCAAACTAGTGGCTTCCTTTTTTCATGTATTAAAGCATTTTATGCATCTTTATTCCATGGTGTTTGCCTCATTTTATTGTATTATGCTGATATACATGCTGATACATACGTCTGTCCACTGCAATGAAATAGAGACCATGTCACATTGAGCTTTATATTTCCCAAGTCCTGAAAACTTACTGAGTACCTACTATGCTACAGGAAGTGTCATATAAAAGGATTATAATTATTTGATTATTCTTATAAACTTTTCTCCCAAACAATGATATATTCTTTCATTTAATGGCTACCAATAAAAGTTATCTCATGAATCTTTAATTATGGAGCTTTACTGTATTCATTTAAATTATTTTCAACAAAGCAGTCAAGCTGTCTTGAATCAGAAACCCAATGTATGTTTGAGCAAGGATCTTAAGAAATAAAGCTTGCTTGCGTCTATATGTAAAGTTATTTTAATGACCCAAAGTCACCACAACTACTTGGTCATTGATTATGATTTAGAACAAGTTTTGAGACCCTAAAATAAAAGATACTGCATAATTGTAGAGTATTATTATGTGAGCATGCATAATTAGGGATTACCATTATCCAAAGAAAAATGCATGGAATCTCTTTGGGCATATATGTTTTTTAAAAGGGATTTTTTTTTTTTTACTGAATATGGTATAATATGAAAGAGGAAATGTAAGAAAAATATGAAAGAGGAAATGTAAGAAAAAACATCCCATTTGTTTCAAGATGAATTTAGTACTGACTTCATTTAGTAATTACTATATGCCAGAACTGTGCGAAGCATTCAAGTCTCAGCAATGAGTGAAAGATAGGGTTCTGTGACCTCATGGGACTTAAAATATAGTGGGGGATTTGGCAAATTAAATACATAAATAAAAAATAAAAGTAAAGATTATAATTTATAAATTATGATGTTCCCATCAAGGAAACAAATCACCAGGGTGATATGTTAAAGATGAATGAGGCTATATTCACTTTACATGAGTCAAGGAAGATTTCTCTAAGGGGTTGACATTTAAACAGACCTGGAGAATGAGGATGAAAGATCAGGAAAGTATTAGGCAGTCTAGGTATAAGAACAGAGCACAGACACAGACCCTAAGATGAAAAGATCTCAGAGTGCTCAGTGTTTAAAACTGAAAGTCAAAATGAGTAAGGACCAAGTTGAAGAGCAGAAGACAAAGATGAAATGCTGAAAGTAGGAAGAAATCATGTAGGGTCTTATGGACTATATGAATTCTGGGCTTCAATCAAAAATAAATAAATAGATTAGTGAATGGGAGATCAGGAGAATAGAGGAAGGAGAATGGGGGAAGGGAAGAGATGGGGGAAAAGGGGAGCACATAAATTAAAATCAAATTCCATGTATGTATGATTTTGTTGAAATGAATCTAATTATTATATATGACTGAAACATGCTCTAATTTAAAAAAAAAAAGTCTGGGTTTCATTTCAGAAAAGTAGGACAATATTAACAGATTTTAAACAACAAAGGCCCATAATTTGATTGGCATTTTTAAAAGATGACTCACTAATATATGAAAATAAATCAAAAGGTAAAGGTGACTGCTCTGTGGTCCAAGTGGTCAGGTGAGAGGTGACCAGTGTTTGAATTAGCAGTATAGTAGCAGAGATATAGAAAGAAACAGAGAGATTCAAGGATACCATTTGAAAATAAAGTCAATAGGACTTGATGGTAGAAATGAAGAGAAACAAAAAAGTCAAGCATGATTCTCTTATTTCATAAGAGGAAAAGTGGAAGACGAACATGTTAGAGAAGCAATTGGGTTAAGAAGATCATGACTTCAGTTTGAAGTATATTTTGTTGAAGATGTCTGTAAGGTATACAAGTAGACATGGGGAAAATATATGAGTCTGGAGTTAAGGAGAAGCTAGGCCGGAGATAGAAACTTAGGAGGCGTTGGCATATGGGTGGTATTTAAAATCATGAAAGGGACAAGCTTCCCAAGAGGATATAAAGAGAAGAGACAGCAAACCCAAGTGAGCTCTGAAATTTACTAGTCAGTTGGAGGAGGAACCAGTAGAGGAAACTGAAAAAGAAAAGAGAAACGAGAAAAAGCCAGAGAAACGAGAGAAAGACCCATAGATTTCAGGGTCAGTGAAACCAGAAAAGGTGAGTGTTTCAATAGGGGGAGATCAGTCAACTCTGTTGAATGCTGCTAAAAGGTTAAGATGAATATAAAAATTACAGGTTTTGATAGATTTGACAAAAAGAAAGTTTATAGTGACCTTTATAAGATCAATTTTCAATTGATTGGTGAAGTCAAAAGCCTTTTTGAATTAAAAAGGGAAGAGAGCAACAATGAGGCAGATAGCTAGTATAGAAACTCTGAGGAGTTCATCTATGTTCAGAGGTAAGTTAGTAGCTATATAGAATGTGAAGACCAAAAATATAGATTTATTTGGTTTTCATGGAATAGGCGGTAGGTGTTATCAGGAAGAGAAACTCTAGAATATGTTTTAATACTGGTAGAAATTATTTACTATATAAGAAATTATTTGCTATAACAGCAAGATGGGATAAACGAAGTAGAAAAATATTTGGCAAGTTGAGAAGGGGGTATGCCCTATAGGACAAGAGGAACAATTTATCTGTGATAGGTATAGGGATACCTCTTTCATTTTAATAGAGGAAAATAGAAAATAGATCAGATGTAAAATTTGTAATTTTACTGTTAAGAGAAAATGGAATACCAATAACATGGCTTACTTTTTTTTTTCATTAATAGGAATAAGGCTATGTAAACATCTCCGTGTCTGTTGGTAGGGGAGTGGAAATTTAGAGAAAGAAAAAATGTTAATTGTGATCATGAATTTAGAGTAAAAACTAGGCATACCAGTTGTGTGATTTTTTTTCCCATCATTATTCAGGCACAGAGCAATCAAATGAGTGGGTTTTTATATGGCTGGAGATTTTCCAGCTGAGTTTACTGGCAAAAGAGATGTTCAAAGAGTTGAGAATGTCAGAGATCATAATGTTGCCCTATGAAAATAGGTTTAATAAACAAAGATAAAATGATGTGGATAATGCACTGGAAGTCTTTAGGAAATTATGCAGAATTGAGTAACTGCAAGGGAGGAGGAGATGAGTTGATATCAGAGTAAAATGATTAAAATGAATAACTAGGAGATGCTGCACATTTGATGATGAAGTCCATGATGCCATGCGGGAGCAAATAACCAAGGAGAAAACATAAGAAATGAGACTGTCAAGAAACTATGAGCTCAGAAACTGGCCTTCCTTTTACCAAGGAGCCCTAAGAAAGGAATAGCTGTGAAAAGAAGTCATCGTGGCCACCCCATGAGTGTTTAAATAGCCCGGCAATGTGGTTAAATGTTGGAGTCTGACATTAATATCCAGTAAACAAGAGAAAATAGCAAGAAAGTTGGTGGGTTTGTGAGAGGAGATGGTGGGAATGTGATATATTAGGACTTGAAGTTTAGAGTAGCTACAGATTGTACAGGAGTGAGGTGGATAAAGTGTGAATAAACACTACTGAAAGGTATTCACCTTTCATGTCCCTGTGACTCTGAGGACATGCTTCAGTGGGACAAAGAGAAAGTGGTATTCTTATGGAAAATAACCAATTTTCAATCAAGACAAAGAGTTGAAGTTGTCTTCAGAGTAAAAGTTCAGGGAGTCTGGGAGTCTGGGAGTCTGTGAGTCACTGGATGTCCACTAGACAAGGAGAGGGGCTGAGAATGGGGTGTGATAGTGAGGGAAGAACATACAGTGAGGGAAGTTGAGGTCTGAGGTGATGGCAGAATTGGAAAGTCGTGGCTCAGATCAAGAGCAATGTGAGGCACGGTGATATTTCTGTTAGTCCTTTAGAAATGAAAGATGTCCAACTAGAATTAAGAGAAATTCGAGGACCTGTTGGGTCTTATGCCAGTCACCAGAGAAGTCATTCCTTGTGGCCATTGGCAAAAAAAAAAAAAATAACAGCAATAAGAGGTGTTGTTGAATGCCATTGCAAGGCAGCATCTTACTCTGTATTCCATTACTCAAGATATAGTGCCTTTTTGATTTACTTAACTCAGTCTGAGTTTATGTTTTTTAAAAATAGGATCCTATCTATAATACATCGGACCTAAATTTGCCTCTTGTGGCCATGTTCCAGACAGGCCTCATAATACCTCCTTAATAGGCACACCATAATGAGTGTTCACTAAGAAAAAGTCCTAGTGATGATCATGTCTCTGAATAGCTCCATTTCCAGTAGGTGGTGATGAAGAAGGAAAAAGGACCATAGAATTTGTCAACCTCATCTGATGTGTCAAAGTTTTCAATGGGAGTGGATCTCTTTCATTTGTCAAACACAAGCTTATTTCCCAACCATGTACAGATACAATTGGAAGAACCAGAAACAAACTACAGAACCTGTACAGGTCTAGTCAGAGCAACACTTCCCTGTATCACTGCAGTCCCCTGGCCCCTCCTCTACCCCAGTGCCCAAAGAGCTGGAGAAGCAGAAGGAGCTAATACAGTGGCAGGGAGAAGCTGTCTATTAAAAAAAAAGAATGGAAGAAAGAAAGAAAAGAAAAAGAAAAACCTTCAGGAAAGAAGGGCAATAAGGGCTTTCAAGGATCATGCTGAACAACAAATATACTAGACCGCCATGACATTTTTTTGAGTGAGAAACATAATTCTTCTACTAGACTCACTAAAAAAATAAAGAATGGAATGCTTACAAGCCAGTTGTGCCATTTTAATATCCTCTTGGAGGAATATGAAGGTACTTGTTTAATAGCTATCCTTTCCTAGTGTCTACTGTTTATTTAGATATAGTGCCTTTTTCGCTGTATTAAAGGAATTAAATACTTTTTTCTTGAAGAAAAAGAAAATTTCAGGGAGAATTAAAATGTTTAAGAACTGCATTTTAAAATATTATCTACATGGTCATAAACACTTAATTTTTTAGATGAGGAAATATGAAAAGTGCCCTTTGTTTTACTATTTTCCTGACATTATGGTCTCTCTCTCTCTCTCTCTCTCTCTCTCTCTCTCTCTCTCTCTCTCTCTCTCTCTCTCCCTCCCTTCTCCTTCTTTCTCTCCTTCCTTTTATCCTGTCCTTATCCCTCCTCTTCCCATCTCTCCCTTACATCCTCCTCTCCTTTCTTCCTTCCCTCTATTGTCACTCCCTGTTTCCAGCTAAAATGTCAGAATTCACATAACTAAAACATGGTGTAGCATGCAATAATAAATGAAGCCCAATAGCTGGTATGAGGGATTAGGAACAGGGCAATCAGTAGGCTTCTTTGTTATATCACAGACAGAGACACAATATTCAGCCCTTGAAGCAATTCCTCTGATATCCCTCTGTGCACTGGAGCCAAAGATGCTGTTCCTGGGACTGGGGTAAAGCATGGTAAATCTGAGTGAAGAGTGCCCAGGCGGAGGCAGCAGATGACTGAATACACTCCAAGGCTTTCCTTCCCAACTCTAGATTTATAAAATAATTGGAGGGAACCATTCTTGTTGCACCACTTCGCCATGCAAGGACTGCTGTGAGCATGCCCCAAACCTCTCTCCCTGGTGGCTGTCCAATTTTTCACCTCAAACTTTCTTACCAGACTGGTATGCACTGCCCCAGAGCTATGTTCCCTAAAGCAGTCACTACTGTCCACTCTACCCATGCTCTGCAGCAGCTTGTCTGGCCCAAGGCTCTCTTGACCCAAGGAGCAGTTTCTCAGAACAAAATACACAGCAGTGAGCAAGTAGGAGGGAGAAATCAATAGAAATATTTCTTTATTTGAATTGATTTATTTCTTTTTTCTGAAATCATTCTTAAGATCCCTGGCTACAGACTCTGTCATCAACTCTACAGCCCATAGATGGTAGGTTGTTCTTCCTCTTTTTAAAATTTTAATTGACAAATAAAAATGTGTATATACTTATGGTATACATGACATTTTCATATATTTATGATTGTGGAACTGCTAAGTCAAACTAATTAACATATGTATTATCTCATAAACATACCATATTTTATGGTGAGAACATTTAAAATCTACTCTCTTAGCAATTGCTAAGTACGAAATATAATGTTATTAACTATTGTTATTGTAATCTACTATAGATCACTTTGTTCATTATTTCTTTTAGGCAGTAGTGATATATGATGAGGCGGCCAGCGCCTTGCCAGGGTAATTTTTCCTGCTCAGGAGGCAATAAGCCTCCTGAGAAAAATAGAGTCTGAAATAATTAGTGAAGAAATAAAAGACAGAGTCAAAGAATAGTTTTTAAAAGCAGAGCTCCTGATAGCATCTTCTAGTCCTGGTAGGAGCTGAAACAGAACAACTACAAAATGGCTCCAATGGTCTTATTTAAGGACGTACATCAAAGATGGGGATAAGATTTCAGGAGTGGAGTCTTGCTTCATGATGTTTTGCAGTCAACAGGTTGATTGGCATCTTGGCAGGCTATATTCATCTCTGAAAGGCTGTGTGGCTACAACAGGTCACCCCATCTCCAGTGCTATGTGGGACCTGAGAGAGCTGAAAAGGACTGACAGGTATCTGGGCAATCTTATCAGCAGGATTGCCACTAGAAGTTCCCAAATATAAGATTTTCCTATTCAATGGGCTTCCATGCAGATTTAGTTCATGGATGGCTCTTGACAGTGATACATCACTCACTACAGAGCAATAGTGTGCTGTGGGTCAGGCAGACTTTGGGGGAATAAAAATGAAGAGAAAGTAACAGAAAATGCAAAGGAAATATGGACAGTCAGGTGGCAGAAGGACAAAGTGAAAGGGAAATAAAGTAAAAACAAATGAGATGAAAGGTTGCCTCCAGATTTCTTAACAAACACAAAAAGTCTTAGGGATGTGTGTGGATTCCCAACTACAGATTTTATGCATTGTACTTGGTTGTCACCTTTGGTGGCCTTACCACTTCAGTGTTCCACCTGATGGCCTGGCAGCCTGAAAATGTGCCCAGCCTGCTTCTGGGCTGGAGACAGGCCTAGATGACAGGGTTGCTTAAATGGAGCCAGGGAGGAGTGATTACATGGTTCAACTCTTCCACCTTATTTTATTATTACTGTTGAAGGATAAATATAGAAAGGAGGGAAAAGCTACTTTAGACTTTGAAAAGAAAGTCTAGCAATT